CGTGATTAGCAATTGGATAATTTGTCGTCGATCATCATGTGACTGCAAAATTTTGTTGGCGATCCTGGGGTAGTTTTAATAACAGCGTCGAACACATGACTTATCAAAGAGGATTTATTGGGACTAGTTCGAAAGAGGCACATGATTAAATGCATATGAGGATACAAGTAGACGTACAACGGCTTATTAATCAAGCTTCGAGTTATTCGTGTATGAAGACACGATTACTCTTTATTTATTAATGATAAGTAAGATATCGGTTCTATTTATACATTTCGTTGACTATAGATCTTCGAAGCTAATAATTATTCTATATACTTAAGATAATACATGGAATATATAATAAATAAGAAAAGTAAAAGAGATAAATAGAATAAGACTAATAAAATAAACATACGTATAAGAAATAAGATATAATATGAATGTAATAAATGTAATAGATATTCGTCACATATTATTTAGTGAGGAACCGGATGATGCTGAAATTTGGGGGTCTCGATTTAAAAATATAAACCCTACTAAAATCCACCTATACTTTTTATTATATAACTACAAAAAAAAAACGTCTTACCGACAATATATGTTATGAGAATAGTATGCTAATTTTATACGTATACTCAAATGCGATTTTGTAGTATACTCCACTACTTTATATTAAAAACCATACATCATTACTATTCGTAATACCGAGGAAAAATCTATAAGTACGAATTTAAATTTTCACTAAACTAAGAAAATTTGATAATCAGCATTATCAAATCTTCTGAGTTTTCCTGTGCATCATTCATATTATAAAGTAATAAAAAAAATTCCCTTTTTTTATTATTAATATAAGTTTTATTTTTTTAATTGCATGATTATTTACTTGTTCGTAAGTACTGTCCGTAGGCTTCGGGTTCTGTATTATGCAAATTATGCACATTATTGTTTTTATTGGTCATAACTAGTGATGTGCCATTTATATACCCAAATTTTTTTCGCGTACAGTACGTATAGTATGCACAGTGTGTATCTAGCGGTTTGATTGGCTGATAGAAAGGATCCCAAAATTTTTGCACCAGTACTTCAGTACGTATAGCACTGTCGTGACACATAACTGTGTAGCATGCAGATCTCGAGTATTGACCAATTAAATAAACTCCTATAATGCTCTCCAATTACGAATACATTTATTTTCTCGTAATGGTCATAAGACAAACATTCATATAACAACCTTTATTACCAAGAAAAAAAAACGCTAGTGCACAACACTTTTACCTTTTTATAAACTATTCTGTCTAGAATTCGTACCACATCAGAGACCACGGTATTTTCAGATGAAAATTTATACTTTCACAACATATAATTTCCATTAATTGTGGTCATTCCATTATTGTGGAACGGAAATCATCATAGCTTATAGCGAGAAAATCCTATATGTATATAATTCATTATATCTTAATAATACAGTAATATAGTAGTTTAAACTTTCGAGAGTTCACTATAAAGAGAATGTATTTCATGAGACATAACAAATTAAGCTTATTACTATTACGTATTAGACAAACATTTAATCGGAAAAAAGATATAATATTTAGATACCATTAATTTGATTGTATAGTGTGGGGTACAGAGTATTTAGTATCACTAAGTTGAGTCATTAAAGATTCATAGCATATTTAATAAAATTACAATAATAATTAACATAATAATAATAAATAATTGGTAATTCGTCTCCGAAAGGATCATCACATGACGCAGGACTTTTTGTGCAAAGGTAGCATTTATCATTTTATCGTAATAATTCTCTCAATTACTGAATTACTGAATTAAAGGAGAATTACCAATTAAAATGCAATTTTATTAGTTATTAGATTTATCGTTTTATTAATTAAAAATGAACAATTAAAGATTTATTATCGTTATATGCTTAAAGTGTATTATTGTATTTGATATGCTATGATAGTAAACAAATCAATAACATTATTAAAAATGTTCATTGTAAGCATTGAATTGAAGTGAGAGCTATTGATATTGTCAAACACATCACGATTTTGCACATAAACATTGAAAAATTGAAAATTGTCAAAGAAAGGTTCACGTGATCACGATTAATTATTTATTTGTAACGCCCAGAAATTTAGTGTAATATTTATTTGAGCATTATTAAAATTATGAATAAATATGTTCACTTTATGGACGGCAAGGATTTACAGTACTTTTGCGGTGCGAAGCTTTGAAGTCAAGATGATGATAAAAATACTAGTTTATTTTTCATGAGAAGAACGTTCGATAAAATTGTCCAAAATCGTATAACTTTTAGAACAGGTATTTTGATGCATTCTTTAAACTTCATTGTAATGTCTGAGTTATTGTTTAGAATTTAGATAAAAGTATAAAAAAAAAAAAAAAAATGTGTTCGCTTTCCTCGTCTTTTATCAAAAGGACCAATTATAGATATAAACAATAAATGCTTATTTCCAAAAACGTAATTGAATTTTATTATTAGCATTGATTAGCACTTTGGTAGTTTCACATTTAGGTGCGAGGTCATTAATTGGTACATTCGAGTTTTAAAGGATTAAGAAAGCGAAAAAGCAGTCATAATTTTGTTTGTTTACATTTCTCTTTGATGCGAATCAAAAAATTTAGTTTCTATTTATTTTTTATTTTTTAAAATGAAATCTTTGATATTACTAATAAATGATAAAAACTAACAATTCCATTCCATATTTGAATTATTGCAGATTACATACAGCATATAGCAACAAGAATGAATTTAACCCTATAAATAAACACACTCTTTTCACTTGACAAATAATTCTTATTTCTATAATTAACATAGTGTTAACTCAATTTTTGTATTCACCATTATCAATTTTTTCATACTCTAAATTATTCATTATTCTTTAATCTTTTAATGGATACTGTAATTCAACTCAGCCCTACTCCGAAACCTCGTACAAAAAAATCTCCATCCGAACGACTCTCAGATTTAAAGCGCAGACTTTCCATAATTCCTGAACCATACGACTCTGGAAATGGTTGGTCAAAGTACGATAAAGAAATTCAAGATCGAGACAACAAATGTTTAAGTCCCAACTGTGTCATCGTAAAAACTGAGATTCTAGTATCAACCCAACAAATATCTAATAGTGAAGACCTATCTCAGGTTGAGCTATCAACAGAAGGTTCCGTAACAACACTTGTTCCTGAACACGATGTGTATTCTGCTATTGATAGTAAACGTAATTCAGCCATTCTAAATACTGATGAAAATGACTCTCATAAAAGGAAGAGTAAATTGGACTTTTTTAAACAAACTTTATCATTAACAAAATTTCAATCAACAATAAAACAATTTGTTGATAATGTTGGCAGTCAAAGTCGAAGGTATAGCAAGGCATTCAGCCGAACTAGAAAGGAAAATTCATAATAAAAAAAAAAAAAAAATTTATTAATTGTGCAAAGACACAATTACTACAATTTCATAAATATATATATATTTATATATGTATATATTTTAATCTTTTCATAAATATATCTTTATTACACATATATATACGTATTAACGCCTATATTTTATTTAAACCTTTCGAGAAAATCTGGTATTTTCTTAAAATGAGAAGTTTTTTTTTTTTTACTATGTACGTAGAAATAAGTATTTTGTGAAAAAGTTTAGAAACACACTCCCATTTCAAATAATAATGCATAGTTGTCAAATAACATTAGTTACTACGTATAATTCCATTCATAAATTTCATAAAAGGTTAGGTTACCAAAATCTCAATTCAATATCTATCTATGTTAATAAATTTTATGATTCAAAAAAAAGAGAAAAAAAAAACATTGAATATTGGCCTACATCCTATCTCTAATATTGTAATACGGTATATGATTGGTAATTATTCCATCAGTCGGCTCCCATTAAGGTAAAATCATCGTTTATAAATTAAGACTATCTAACCTAAATAATATTATAAGATGCATTTTGCACCTCAAATTATATTGTTATTTTTTTATGGCGAGTGGTCGCCCAAACGTTACTCCTGAAAATACAACAAGATTGTGGATCATACCGAATGTTTTTAAACAGTTTCATGTACCTACATGCGAATAATGCCGGAAAAAGTACCCGCAATTTCTTATTTGAATGATATAATTCATAACGACAAGTTTCTAAATTTGTGACTGAACATAAGGTTGATACTATCAATAAACAATAGAATATGTATGTGTGTTAATAATTGTTTCATCATAGATTTATTGTCCAAAGGACTTATGATAAAGGCATAGGCTGTAAAAAGAGAAATCACTACCTCGGAAGTGCGGGTACCCTTATGTCCAGAAAATCCCGGGCTGAAGATCACTTCCGACCCTATCCGGATCCAATAAAATCACAGGA